ATATATAAGAAGTAAGTGTGTACTGATTCTGTGGTGTACGTTACAATAAATGGTATTAAAAACTAAAAACCTGTAATGAAATAATGCGCAGTGAAAAACAACAAAATGTAGATAGATATATCCTGGAAGTTATTGAAGCCAAAAAGCGGCAGCCATGAAGTAGTATATCAAACACGAGAGACAGTGTTTCATCGGAATATCCAAACACCGAGAAGAGAGTTGAAAATTCGACGCGCAGCGGAGTATTTCTGACGAAACTCGAGGAAATTCTTCTCAATGGGAAAAAAAAACTAAGGAGTTAAAGGAGAAGTAAAATCGTCAAAATCTATGCTAATTAAGATCGGGTATCCAAACCTCCTTCACGGTCATGACTTCTTTTGTTTAAACTTGATGAATTATTAATGAGTTTAAGAAGTATACTTTCTTTCGTTAGCTTAAACTGTTTGCATGTAAAGCTAAACAAAAAGAAAATCTCTGTTGGTTTTTCTTGAATGTAAAAGTAAATAGAAACATTTACTAACTTTTTTTCTGATCCAAAGGGATTTAAAGAAACGAAGCTACCTAACGGAGGGATCAATATCTTCGCTACGTTGTTGCATACGCATCTGGCAGGTAATTGAAACAATAAACTTACAATAGAAATATGGGCTACTGCATGACGAGCAAAGTACAGAGAACTACCAGGACCAAGATCAAAGCAAACACTTAGGGACTGCATCAAAAAAAAAAAAAAAAGAAAAAGAAAAGAAAAGAAAAGAAAAGAAAAGAAAAGAAAAGAAACAATAACAATTTTGAACAGATTCACTACTTACTTAACTAACTATCTGATTTGCTTTTTCTCGTTTCCAAGGCCGAAAAACCTGGCTTCGTCACGTTAGAGATGGTGTGGAGCTTCCTGAAATAGCCAGAGATGACCATTATGACTTCAACTTTCAGGAATATCACTTACTGAGGAACGAGGTTCACGTAAAGCCGGTAAGAATTAAGTTTCCTTTCTACAAAATTTCTGCCAGTACTGCTACGTACTTGTACATTCAGCTAGTTTGAATAAAGCACCGATTAAAAATAACTCAGTCACGTACAAAACAACCGATTAAAATTGGAAAAAAAACCCGAAAATAGTAGTTTATATATTAAGATTGAAAAATACCAAAGTAATCATGGAAAGTAATGGAAAGTAATGGAAATGGGATTGTTAAGGGTGGAGAAGATTCACACAGATTACAAACAACGAATTTAAAAAAAAAAAAAAAAAAAAATTGGCTAAACTCTTTAAGATGCGCAAACCGTGGTGTAAGTCCTTTAAGGTTAAGCCTGTCAACACTATTTCGCTGCAGCCAATGGGACAAGCTGACAATTCAGGCAAAGCGAACTTGACTACTCTTGTTATTCGTTTGTTCTATTTTTCTAGATGATGTATTTTAACGCTTAAGTTATTAAGCATTTGTCCTCTAATTGATTTGTTTTGTTTCGTGGGTATTAATTTTTGTTTTTTTCGTTCGCAGGGTGATACAATGATAAATGTCTGTATCTATAATACGGAAGATCGAGCAACAGGCGTACAGGTAAGCCCCCCCCCCTCCGAGGTGGATAATCGCATCTTTAGGAGCTATATAAGTATATGCGGGTATTTGTATAAAAGAAACTATTTTTTTCCGGTCAATATTGGCAGGCTTGTAGCCCTTCTCAAGTATTAACGCAAATGGAAGTTGTTTCTGAATTAGAGCTGTGTGCTAATCTTAAAGGTCTGAAATGAAGTATCGATTTCTCTCTAAGGTCTGAAACGGGGCATGAAAAATTTCAGATTTTGGTGTGAAATAGGGTACAATTTTCAAGGTTCGGGCTAGAAACCCTCAAAACACTTTGGGTACTACCCCATGCACCCCTCCCTCTGTCTCCCCCACGGGAGGGGTAAGCCACAACAGAATCACAAGCTAAAGTTGTGCACGATTTAAACAAACAGTTACAGATGATCGTCCAACAAAATCAACGATACCGAAATGTATCGAACTCCTTTCGTTGCCACTAGCAGCCTGCACTCTCTCCTTACTATCTGTTAAACGATTGCGCATTTTTACGGAATTGTGGTAGTGAAAAGGGTGTTAAAGAGACGACTCAAAAAATTTTCCTAGAACAGAGAGAGAGAGACGAAATAAGGTAAAGCAACAATTTTCGTTCACTTGATTTTAGCGGTCAGCTTAGCACACATGCTTCACTCACATCTGGGGAGAAATGTTCTAAGAGAAGTTTGAAGAACCTGTTGGGATTTTGTGTTTTGAAGAAACCCATAAACTGTCTATCACAGACTATCTTTTCTTTCTTTTGGTTTTCAATTAAGGGAGGTCTTGCAACAACTGATGAGATGTGCCTCTCATTTATCCTGTATTATCCCAAAGTCAACGTAACAAAGTGTATGTCGAGAGAAAAACCGGCCTATAATGCCTGGTCTAAAAAATATTACAAGTAAGTTTCTTTACAGTGTTGCTTCAGTGAAAACGCAAGTAATGGCTACAACGCACGTTTATCCCGGCCGCCCCTTTGTCCAAACATTTATTGGTTTCGATGGTTTGCAACAACACAGCAAACCTTATTCACTCATACATTTAAAGTTTTACCAAAAAATAAATATATAAATTAAAGGACAGCAAAATACTGTACATTTGAGTCTGTAACCGAACATTTTGTAGTCAGTCCGGCAAGTTATTGTAAGGTTTCTATAGATATTGAGAGAATACAGAATTCTTAAGGGATGCCGATATGTACTTGGTATAATAGAACGAAGAAAACCAATACAAGTTTTCAGAATGCTGTTCAAACAGTAAATAAAATTTTAGTTGTTTAGAGAAGCAATATCTCAGCAATTCATTGTTTCGTATCGATTAGCTTCTCTTTATGTCACTAGCGCGAAGCGAGAAATTTATCCTTAAAAAACCCATGTTTGTCTGTGATTTCTCTCTACGTGATATAGACAAGGTGACGATCCAAGAAAACCTAGCTGGTGGACTGATGCAGTGAACACGGGGCTAAAGGACGCTTATCAAGAAGCCGACCAAATGGTGGCAAAGTGCTCTGGGCGTTCTAATAAACCAATAGAGGTAATAAGCAAGAGTTACTCAGTAGGATCATTTCCCCTCCCCCCTGGACTGAATGCCTGTCAAAAGCAGGGCTATCCCCAGAATTATACTCGCTGGTACCAATTTATACACCTGGGTGGAGAGAGGCACTGTGAGAGTAAAGTGTCTTGGCCACTGTGCAATGTCGCCGGACCGCTCGATCCGGAGACGAGCGCACTTACCATGGGACCTCCGTGCCTCCCTCAGATTTCCCTTCCAACGCGAACTTAGCTGTATACAAATCATAAATGATTCTTGCTGATCACTGTTATCGTTTTTCAGGGTGTCGACGGTAAACTAACATCCAAACCAGTAATCACCACGCCCTACAAGCCTGAAGCTGCCTGCGAGATATTTGCTGCTATGGGTAACAGAGTCGGTTCAAGCTATCTGATCTTGCTGACCATACTCGTGTACCTGTTTGCTTTCGCGGGCTGAACCAAAACAACATTTTTACTGCATGTTGCTTATGTACGAGTTTATTTTTATTTTCATTTCTTTTTATCAGTTGTTTTTAAATCTTTGCGTTGTTTGTTACTCTATGATTAGAGAATAAACACTACATTACTTAAGTAAAGCTTCTGGCTCCATAATTCTTAGCTTGACATTTTCCATTTAGACTGTCGATTGCGTAAACCGAAACAACTCCACTCCACTTTAGAGGCATTTGAGCAACTATAAATTTCTCACACTCAGAATCTTTCTGCGAATCATAAATACCCTTTACCTTTAAAATACACAGTTTATTTTGCGTTATAAACAACTGACCTACAAATAACGAGAGACAGAGCATGGGTGGAGGTTGCCATCCAGTCCAGGTCATGTGATGATTCATTTTGGAGGCTAAACTGTTCTGTTTGAACAAACTTCCATGCAATCAGTTACGTGTGGAAAATTACATGATTCTTTTACTTGTACAGATTTTCGTACAGTACTTTCAGACTAACTTATGAGATATCTGTCACAAATCGGGACAGTCTGCACGAGTAGGCAAAAAGTTCGTTGTTCAGATTCTAATGTCCACAAACACATCCACCCTATAGATATCTATACTTAAGGTAAAGGACAAGTATGTTATTCATTTTGCATTTTGTTTATCGATAAAGTTCACACGGTACGTAAAATGGTTACCTAACCTATTAAAATCTGTCTCCGTTCCAAAGCATCTGTGAAATAGAAGAAATAAAATGATTCTCATAGTCTAATAGCAACAAGAGTAATAATTAATTTCATAGAATTGTCTAAAAGGGGACTGACTGGTCGGGGAAAGATGAAAAACGTTTTCATGTACAACTGTGCCATATAGTCAATCCTGTAGTAAGTTTGACTGGGTAAGTTAGCTGCCACTAATACATGTTGGGTGTGGAACCGTGTGTGCTTTAAGGCTAGTAAAACAAACGTTAAAAACGGGTGCACGACATTGCCCACAATGGCTGAATTACATCGCGTATTCTCCCCTGATATTCTTTCCTACATTATAACAAACAATTTTGCGGAAGTAGAATCTCGATCAATTTCCACAATATTGCGTGCAACAGTTCTAAGTTCTAAAGCGCAGTCGCCGGATAATCACGCTGTTGACATGCTAGATGCGATCTGCTCAGACGACTTCTGTGCAAGGACAAGTTGGAGTTCTAACCTGTGTCTTTGCTGAACATATGGTGATACATACTGCTGCATTGTCAGCCTTCTCCATCTCGTTCCATTAACAAGTTAATTTTTGCAAAATTAAAGCAGGTCGCTCCAAGACGCTTACTTTTTTCGTCTTCGCCTATAGCAAGTAAACATTCACCATTTCCACTAATCGAAGTTTTAGCCTCTGAAGTGCCTGCTATCCTGAAGAAATTCGTCTCGAAAGAAGCGACTTCAGAGGCCACCATTTTTGAGACTGTCTTGGTAGCCAGGGCATGTTTATGTGGCGTCATTCCATCCGAGTCGAAATTGGCGGGAGGGAGAAACACCTGCAACTGACTTTGCATCCTTCACAACGTCAGCAAAATGTAGTTTTTCCAAGCGATTATCCACTTCACCATCAATGCTATTATTTCGGAGCTTGGAGCACGTTTGGCTCAAAATGATATGCCTCAAGGACAGCCATAACCCAGAGTGGTAGTTAGCAGGCTTGTAGGGTGCCATATGGACAGAATCTCTAGATCTTGGACGGAATGAGGTCACGAAAATGCGGCCCGCTGCTGAGTACTGTTCAAAATGGCGGCAACGATGTCGAAGTTTGAGTTTCTTTGGAGTCAAATAACCTGCACTTCAGAGTCTGAAACTTCAGTGAGTGGCCAAACTTAGTGAAAGATTTTTTTAGCGTTGACGAAAAATATACGTTGTTTGGAGTGACCTTCTCCTTGAAAGTCTTTTCTTCGCTTAGTATCCCCGTCCGCCAAATTGCATTGAATACTTCACGTTTAAAGCATATTCCGCTGACCGACAGACCAGACTGTATTAATTCTGTATCAAGTGCGACGCATGTGCGACGTATGAATCGACAGTCGCATTTTTGTTGCCCTTAATTAAATTGAATTCAACACGGCAAAAGTGCGACGTATGAACCGAGCCCAGAGAAACTAAAGAAAAATACCATTGCGTGACGCAAGGGTAACGCAATACAGTATACTCATGCGCAACCTCTTTCCAACGGTCCTATCTCTTCTTGGGAGGAGGGGCCGATAGGACACTGGGAACAAAGTTGACTCAAGCGAAGCTTACGAAACTGCGGACCCAGGCCACAAGAAGTGAAACTGCAGGCTTCTATACTACTCGGAGCTGAGAACTTTCCGTTGCCCGTACATTTTCTGTATAAAAAGAGATGACCGCAATGCACAATCCAGTTCTCAGAAACTGCTTTATTTTTAGGCAACACCGAACTCTTTGTCTCGACGAAGTGTTTAAATTAGAAAACAATCGGACATTAAAGAATGGTAAATAGAAGTCGTGTTGATTGCTTGTTTGTCACTTTTAAGACATTCCTTCTTTACTTTGACAACCCACCGTCAACGCACAATCCAGTTCTCAGAAACCGCATTATTTTTAGGCAACACCGAACTCTTTGTCTCGACGAAATGTTTATATTAGAAAATAATCGGACATTAAAGAATGGTAAATAGAAGTCGTGTTGATTGCTTGGTTGTCACTTTTAAGACATTCCTTCTTTACTTTGACAACCCACCGTCAACGTTTATTGCTTGTTTGTTAGTATATTTTTGATTTTGTTTTTAGTCTTGGTTTGAAACATTTGTAAGGAGCTTCTTTTTACATTCTTTTTACTAGCCAGCTCTCTCAAACCTATAAAAATGTAAGACGAAATTATTCAATTTTCTACTTGTACCTCTTAGAATAATACTGGTTTTCAGTCTTCAAGCGGTTTTCAGAATTCAAGTGACTTGTGACAGATAATTATGCTTTTATAGTGACTTCCTTGAATTTCGTAAGCTACATCTTTCAAACGTTTACGCCCACAATAATAAATCTGGCTAGATGATAATTAAGTTCAGAAGACCAGGGATTGTTTCTCCGTTTCTGCAGCCTCTCGGAATAAACAAACAAACAAAAAATTGAAAACACCAACAGTTTCTCTAAATCTATTGACATCTGCTTTTGTTATCAGCATATCGATTTGAAGTAGACGTTGAAAAAGGCCGAGAACTGTTATAAGTTAATAAATTGGACCCTCTCG